CTGCCATCTTGGCTGGCAGTTAATTTGCATATCGCCCTGATTAGCCAATGGGAAGGGTAGCGGTCGTACGCTAATTACCATGTTTCTCTTTTATTAGATAGGATATATAGATGGAGCAGAATGCTACTGGCACTTAGAAGCAGGATCCAGGGATGCTAAAAAATAGTACAATGCACCAGACAGAACAATATAATGAAGAATTAGGCAAATGGCCATAGGGAAGAGGGCAGGGAGGCAAGGGCTTGTGTGGAGGTAGGCAAGGGGGGACTGGGGAGGCGGGGGGAGAAGAGGACATCTGTAATAGTATAAACAATAAAAAAATGTAAAAAAAAAAAAAGAATTAGGCAAATTCGACCAGTGCCCTTTGAAAAAGAATGCTATAGTTGAAATAAGTATAAAGATCATCTGATTGATGGTGGGTATTTCTTTGTTATTAAACCTGTACAGTCTTTGCCACCCTTCCCCCAAACAAACCTTAAATGAAGGACCATTTTTAAATTATTCCCCTGCTTTGCAGGTGAGATAAAATGAGGGTCCAAGCTAGGTGACAAACTATGGAGGAGAAACTCTGAAGTAAAGATGGAAGAAATGAACAAGAGGTTAGATGAGGGTAGAAATGTGAAGATGTAAAAAATGACTTTATTCATTGACATTCTCATTTCTTTAGAGTTATACCCCAACTTATGCAATTATTAAAGACAAAGTCAATGGGATTTAAAAAATCAATATTTAGACCTAACCTATATCTCTGTGTTGAAGTGAATGCATGAGACTAAAACACTGTTTTTTATATTCTTTTCTTCATTTTCACTGTAAACACTGTACTTTTCATTAAGGGAGAGGGAGTCTAAAGTTGTTACAGCTCACAGTAAAAGTCTTTTCCAAGGATCAATAAGAATGTTTGGGGGAGAATAAGAAGACAAAACAGCACTGTACCTTAAGCAAGTAAAGTAGAAGACAGTTAAAAAGAAATTCAGGAGATGTATGTTAGAGTATATTTTTTTTAAAAGTTATCCTCTCCCCTCTAGTTAGAATTCAACATTAAACTTTAACAGAAAGTCATTCTATGCTTCAACCACATGATCTATCAATCTTATAGGATATTCACAATGAAGCATTCCCATATTAAAAATTTTTTTAATGTATTCAGTATATTTTGAGCTCTGTAGATTTGTCTTTTTCTGGAAATAATATGAAAGGCATACAAACTACCTCTTACTGATCCAACATTTGTGTCTTCAATTTCAATGACAAATTATAAAGTTTTTCTGAAAACAACATGAAAAGTATTCAACTTACCTCTTCCTGATCCAACATTTGTGTCTTCAATTTCTCTACCAACTGGCTCTGTTGATTAATTTCCTCATCCTAGAATTTCAATATAACAAGTTGCTCACAAGCTGTTGTAATTGTTTCCTAACACAAAATTAAGATAACTATCACCCCTCCAAATTATTTCAAAACCATATTTTATTCCGATCTCTTAAGAAAATGTAAAAACAGATATAATCTCTTTCAATTATCAATAATTGTAACACTTCTTTTGCAGTAAGAAAAGAAGCTGATAAACATTTATCATGCAATAAGAAAAAAAGCTATTCATTAAATATTTTAAATGCAAAAAGTAATTAACAAGTTCAAAGTTATTACTGAAAATAATGGCCATGAAGCCACATCAAACCTGCCATCTCTGCTTAAAACATATAAATAATACCACCTAAGAACAAAAAGCAAAACTAGAACTATTTTCTTCTAGTCTCTTATTGCTTTTCCCTCCATTCCTCTCTATTTGTTCGTAATTTGCTATTTTTCACACTACTGATATAATCAATGCAGGAAGATATTTTTACTGTTATGTTCCACTATCTAATCTTTTACATTATCTTTTATCAGTCTTCAGATCCCCAATTCTAAGAGGCCATTTTATTAAGTCTCTCCCATGATCCAATGCCAAATTTCCTTTAGAAAGTTATTTTAGCTTAAAAATGAGGGGGTGGGGAAACATGTCTCATACAATCTCTGCATAGAAACAGATTGTGATTTGTTTTTAATACAATGATTGTCAAAAGGCTAACAGATATCAAGAGAGATGTACATAGTCATGAGGACCAATATACATTAAATTAGAAAATAAAAATACCTATAGTGATAATATTCTACAACACAATAGAACATGAACAATACCTACCTTGTCATCAAGTTGTTTGTACAGTTTAGCAATTTCTTCTTCACACTTTCTTCTTTCAGCATCAGTAAAGTTTCCAGTAACTCCAATTGTGGCTGCTGGTTTATCATTGGTAATAACAATATCTTTATCCACTGTGAAAGCTTCCAAGTTGGCTTTCTCTTTGTCAAATTGCTCATCAATAGGTACTGTCTCTCCTAAAATAAGACAAAATAGTTAATAAAATTCACCTGTCTAAAACTAATTTCAATTTTATTCAATTTCAGCAGCTCCTAACCAGCTTTATCTGCTCAGTCCCTGAGATTTGAAAAGATGCAATTATCTTTATTTCCCCATCCTATAATCCAGTCATCAAATCTTTATTACTTCCACCCTAATCTAGGCACCTTGCCATCTTGTGACTTTTATAGCTTCCAAGTTGGCCTTTGTGCCTCTATTTATTATTTCAGGTAAAATCAGAATTTAATGTAAAAACTTTATTCATTTTTATTTGATGATGCCTAATGCCTAAAAAGTGAAAATGGATATGCTTTGTTATTTTATTTATATTTATACCTAAATCTCAAATTTATAAAGTAGCTCTAAATCTTTATCCAACAACTAAAAATGACAGCTTCCTAAGTTATTACCATTACGCCATCGGTTGAGTTCGTTTTCAAGCCACTGAATGGTGTTACGGAGGGTCTTATTTTTTTCTTTTTCTCTTTCATACTTCTTTTTCCACTGTTCTGCAGTTAATTCTACATTGACACAAACTGTATTCTTAATTGTTTTGGCCCTAAGAAAAGTAATTGGGAAAAAAAAGAATGTGACTGAAATTATTTTCAATTGACATCTAATCTCTCTAGGTAATGTATGTATATATAGCTAAGTAACTTAACTTTCCTTGTACAGTTAACCTAACTATTCTTGGAGCTATAATTAGTATAGTACTTATTCACACCCCAACTAAATTGGGGTCAGCCCTAACATCTGTTAATAACTTAAAAAGAAAAATCAGCAACCTGATGAGGATAAAACATGAGGGCCTATATTTTCCAATTTATTTGCAAGGTTGACTTAAGAAAGGAAATTGTTGAAGTTTAAAGATAAAGCCGTCATTATCTTCTTAGGCTAATCATATCATACAGATTATGTGAATCCGCTCACTTATACCAACGGTTTAGCATAGGATTTTATATATATATCAGCTTTGTACTGTATTACCTGATTCAAATGTTTATTTTCTTTTATGCTGAGTTGCAGCTTCTTACATAAATTTGACTACATTTTACTTTAATGTGTGCTAAAACTTAATTCAAATCCAAGCAGTCTAAAAAATGGACCTGTACTCATGTGAACAATATCTCTTAACAATTTTCCTAGATTTAATCAATAAAAGGCCTATCTATGTTCAGACTTTGTAATTGCTTAACAACAAACCTTTGGCCAAAAAGGAGTGTCGATTTTGTTTCAGATTCATTGTATGATGATGGAGAGCAGCAAATTACAATAGTGGTTCTACAGTTCCCCCCTAATGAATCTTGAAGGATTCTTGTCATTTTACTATCTCGATATGGAACATACGTCTACATATAGAAACAAAAAAAATAAATAAAATGTCAATGGGTTTCTACATAATAAAATCTATTACATAAACATGCTATTTTTAAAAAAACTACAAAGTGACTTCAGTTATTTATATTAATAAAAGGGTAATATGCTAATTAGACCAGGAGACCTTCTGGGAGACCTTCCGGACAAAGCCATGGTGGCAGGGCTGAGGCAGAGGCAGGTTTGGGGTGATCAGGCTGGCAGGGGGAGGCAGTTGGGGAGAGCAGGCTGGTGGGAAGGGGGACAATTGAGGGCGAGCAGGCCAGCAGGGGGTGGCAGTTGGGGGCAAGCAGGCCGGCAGGGAGGGGCAGTTGGGGCAATCAGGTTGGCAGGGGGAGGCAGTTCGGGTGAGTTGGCCGGCAGGGGGGGACAGTTGGGGGTGATCAGGCCAGAAGGGGGAGCAGTTGGGGGCGATCAGGCCAGCAGGCAGAGTGGTTAAGGGTGATCAGGCAGGTGAGCAATTAGGAGCCAGCAGTCCTGGATTGCAAGAGGGATGTCCGACTGCCAGTTTAGGCCCGATGCCTGTGGGATCGGGCCTAAACTGGCAGTCAGACATACTCCGAGGGGTCCCAGATTGGAGAGGGTGCAGGCCGGGCTGAGGGAAACCCCCCCACATGCATGAATTTCGTGCACCGGGCCACAAATCATATATAATAAAGTGATAATATGCAAATTAACCCTCACACCCTCACAAGATGGCTGCCTACAACGAGGCTGGCAGGGGGGTTAGTGAGGGATGACCAAACGACTGAACAAGCAGGCTGCGTGGGGCGACCTCTATACTAATAAAAGGGTAATATGCTAATGAGACCGGGCATCTTCTGGATGTCCTTCCAGACAAAGCCAAGGTGGCAGGGGCTGAGGCAGTTAGGGGTGATCAGGCCAGCAGGGGAGGTCAATTAGGGGGCGACCAGGGCAGCAGGGGAGGGCATTTAGGGGGCGTCCAGGCTGGCAGAGGAGGGCAGTTAGGGGGCGACCAGGCAGACAGGCAGGTGAGTGATCAGGAGCCAGTGGTCCAGGATTGTGAGAGGGATGTTTGACTGCCGGTTTAGGCCCGATCCCTGGGATCGGGCCTAAACTGGCAGTTGGGCATCCCCCGAGGGGTCCCGGATTGGAGAGGGTGTAGGCTGGGCTGAAGGGACCCCGGATTGGAGAGGGTGCAGGCTGGGCTGAAGGGACCCCCCCACCCTGTGCACAAATTTCGTGCACCGGGCCTCTAGTCCTATATAACAAAAGGCTAATATGCAAACAGACTGAACAACTGGTTGCTATGAAGTGTGCTGACCACAAGGGGGCGTGCGCGGAACATGGCGTGCGTCGGCCACAGCGGGATGGTGGAGCAGGTGTGCGGGGGCACCAGATGAAGGTGGGGTGCCGGTCGCTGTCATCGGGGTGAGTCTCTGGTAGTTATTGAAAATTCTTTGCTCCTGCCCATGGCGGTCCTGCCTGGCGCTTGCACCTGTTGATGGTGCTTGCACCTGTTGATGGTGCTGGCCCCACAGTTCACACTCACTGCCGGTCCCGATCACTTGGCGCTGTCAGCTGGTGCGAGTGGCGGTTGCCGGCCCCAATCGCTCAGCGCTATCAGTGGGTGTGAGTGGTGGCTGCTGGCCGTTATCACCCCTGAGGGCTTCTCCACTTCCCCCTGCTCCTGAGGGGTGATCAGGGCAGCAGCTGCTGCTCACATCCACTGACAGTGCCAGCCCCGCTCGCACCTGCTGCTGGCACTGGCCTCAATCGCTCTGTGCCTTCAGTGGGTGTGAGCCGGGCCAGCGCCGTCAGTGTGTGGGAGTGGGGCTGCCAGCAGACAAGAGACCGGGGGCTGTGGCGGGAGGGGTCAGGCGGGGCCAGGGAGGATGGGCTGAGACCCACACCTGTGCCTACTGCAGCCTCACAGCCCACAGTTCCTTTCAAAGTGCATGAATTCATGCACTGAGCCCCTAGTTTGTTTATTATTGAGAACAAGGATATACATACTAATACTATAAAATAAGTTTCTAAGAGACAAGGAATTCACACATAGATTCAAACACACACTCTTAAGTAATTCAGTAATTCCCCATAAGAACAGGGAAATAGAAGACATACTTACACTACCCTCAGCCAAAGCAGAAATAACATTTCCAAGAGCAGAAAGTGACTTGTTGATGTTCTTAGCTTCATCCAGCACAGCACCTTCAGCTCCAGTTTTACTAACCTATCCATAAGATTAAAAAAATTTTTTTAAGTTTAAAATGAATTTTTGAATTTTCTACAAAGTTCAGAAGTCATCAATAATCAGCAAAAAAGAAAGAAAAGAAAGGCTTCATGACTTTATTTGCCAAGTGTTTACTCTCAGTTACCACTATTTCTCAAGTATTATTCTTTTGAGAACTTGGTTAAATAACTATCTGCATAACAAGAACGTAATTAAAAGAGACACCAAATTTTATTTTTAGTTTGCGCTCTTCAAAATAACCAATTTACATGTGTATTTATATTTTACTAATTTGTTAGTACCCTTTGCTACATCAGAAAAGAGGAACCTTTTAAAATTTGTTAGAGCATAATGTTTGTTGTTGATGGAACTGTTAGAAAACAGAGACTGAATTTAAATATATAAGCAAACTTGCTTCTTTTTAAAAAATGTAAAATACATATATTAAGTATAGGATAGTACAATATGTTGCAATGTTGGTGGAAGAAATGGCCTCTCAGAATATGCAAAATAGAGACAGGCTTAAAAGGATGGATGTAAGACTTTTGAGTAGTAGCAAATAGGTACATTATTCTAATCAGAAGAAACAAAATTAGTGAAATAGCAAAAATGGTCATAGAGGTCAATATTAAAACATTTGAACTTATTTTGAAATAAACTAAAGTAAGATTATATAGGACTGTAAAAATGAAATAATCAGCCCTGGCGAGTGTTCAGTGGTTAGAGCATTGGCCTGCAGACCAAAGTGCTGTGGGTTTGTTTTCTGGTCAAGGGCATGTACCTCAGTTGCAGGTTAAATTCCTGTCCCTGGTCAGGGCTCGAGTAGGAGGCAACAAATTAATGTGTCTCTCTCGAGTGAGTGAGTCTCTCTCTCTCTCTCTCTCTCTCTCTCTCTCTCTCTCTCTCTCTTCCCCCATCCACCCCTCCCTTCTCCTTTCTACTCTCTCTAAAAATAAATAGAAAAAATGTCCTCACTCCTGAATGAGAATTTAAAAAAAGAAAAATAATCATCCAAAGGAAAGAAATAAGTACACCCAAAGTAGAAAGGACTAAAGGATAGTTACCAGTTTTCACAGGGAGCCCTTTGCCAATATGGATAAAAAGATAACCAAAAATTAGGAGGATACCTAATAAAATTCATAATGACATAAGCTAAAGAAATCCTTAATAAAAACATACATCTTAAGTCAAAGGTAACACCTACTGGTTGAACTGGAGTATAGTCCAAATAACAGTGATTTGAACTGATTATTTAGTTTATGTAATCATAAAGTATTGACATCGATGCTTGCAACTCTCAAAAATGCTTAGATATGTAAAAAGATTTACCTTTTCACTACCCGCTAAATCAACCAGATAAAGTTTTCCACTCAGCTTTTGCTCCGTTTGTGTGTTCTCTTGTTTTACATTAATAAGAAATATACTGTGACTTCTAGAGCTATGTTCATTCATATCTGCAATGAAATTACACAACTATAAATAAACATGGCTTTCCTTTACCAATAATTTCTAAAGCATTAATATAAAAATCTCACAACTAATCAGCTTGATAAAGATAATTTAAGGCAGTTTTGTACCTTAACTAGTGTTAATAAGTATTTGACTTACTTGTAACTGCTACATGTCTGTTGGATTTTCCTTCATCTATGGTATCCATAACTTCATCTGGACTACATACAAAACGCTCTGTGCAACCCTATAAAATAATTTTAAGTATGTTGATATCCTGACAAATTTTTATTTCAGTGCTTTCCTAAATAATCATTCTATATTATTTTAACAGTACCTTTACATAGGGAACGCGGTTTTTATCTTCATGAACTGAAAGGTTGGTCTTTGAAACTGAAAAAAAGAAATAATATTAGTTAGCAACACTTTCCTAAACTCTAACACTGGCTATGAAATTCAATTGTTTCCTTCCCAAATCAGCCTGATAATAATAGGCTAACTTTAAAAATATGAAAAGGTCACTATTAAAATAAGACCGTATAGAAATAGTAGGAGATTTATATAGAAACCCATGCAGCAATATAGAATTTTAGGTCCAGTCCAACCTCTACCTACCACCCACATGTTGAAAATGAAAACATTGAGCCAGAGTGGTTCAATGGTTTGCCCCAAAACAATGGTGGTAGCAGGAGTGGGACTGCTGGCAGACAGGGGACCGGGGCTACATGGGAAGGGCCGGTTGGGGGCGTGGAGGATGGGCCGAGACACGCCCCTGTGCCCACCACAGCCTCAAGGCCCACAGTTCCTTCCAAGGTGCATGAATTCGTGCACTGGGCCCCTAGTCTATAATAATAAAAGCGAAATGTGCTAATTGGACCAGATGTCCTTCCAGACGACCTTCCAGACAAAGCCAAGGCTGTGAGGGAAGCCAGGTCCCAGGTGCCTGCCGGCAGCCAGAGGGACACCCGGGTCCCGGGTGCCAGACGGAAGCTGGTGCCAGCAGCTGGAGGAAGGCCTACTCTTGTGCAAGTTTCATGCATCGGGCCTCTAATCCTATATAATAAAAGCCTAATATGCAAATTGTCCCCTTGACCAGGAGTTTGCTCAATATGATGTGCGCTGACCACAGAGGGGTGGGGGGATGGGAGGAATGGAACATGGCTGGCGTTGGCGATGCGGCGCTGGCAGCGGCGGCAATAGAGGTGCTGCTGGCCCCGATGAGAGTGGGACTACGGTGGGATTGTGGAGCAGGTGAGTGGGTGGTGCCAGGCCAAAGCAGATGTGAGCGGGGTCCAATTGCCCCGCAGACGGTGACCAGTGGTGGCGGCAGCTCCCAGGCGCTGAGGGAGCCGGGAGTGGGGCGTGCGGGAGCTTGGGGGCCCAGAGTTCAGCTGGGACCTGCCCTTCCACTCCAGACACTTGCGCTTCGATCACCGGCCAGGCCTAGGGACCGCACCCGTGCATGAATTTTTGTGCACTGGGACTCTAGTGTATCTAACTAATTGACAGCTGATGGAAAACCAGAACTCAGGATCTCTAACGCGAGTTCAATGCTCTAATTAGTACTTAAGAAGCATCGATAAAGAGCTGCTTTAAATAAGTTACTCCCATGTGTCAAATGACATTTAGTTAAAACTTTAAAAGAAAAAATATTAAATGCGTTTCCTATAACTTAAGTCAATTTCATATAGGTTAGCTTAAAAATGGTCTCACATCTACTATTAAAAAAAAAAAAAAATAGCCCTGGCCGATGTTTCTTAGTGGTTAGAGCGTCAGTCCACACACTGAAGGGTCTCGGGTTCAATTCCCAGTCAAGGGCACTTACCTGGGTTGCAGGTTTGATCCCTGGCCCCGGTCTGGGCAAGTGCAGGAGGCAACCAATCAATGAGTCTCCCTTACATTGAT